TAGACATTAAAGTTCATCATACTTGATTTTGTTTAGTTTATCTGTGTGAGTTACTCTTACAGTAGAACCACAAAGGAAGCCAAGGAAAATAGTTCCAAAAGAAAAGGAAACGGCAACAATAGTTTTCAGTTCTTGTCACTAAGAGGAATTTCCCATTCCCTAAAGCTTGAATACACTTGGGCCATCAATAACAGGTTTTCTCTTCTAAATAAATCAATAGCTCAACTAGAAATATGTTTCCTCTACAACTACTCTAGACCCACTTAAAAGTTGTTCTACCACTTGTGATGCACAAAAAAAAAAAAAACAAAAAAAAGTTTCATGACTTGCCATTTAATGCCTGGTTAAAAATCCATAATATTTGTCAAGGTTCAGCTTCTTAGCATCTATGGGTTGTGATGATTCTTGCATCTGCAATTAGAGAAGTAATTTGATTGCTGAACACATTGCTAAAGCAAAAGGGTAAAGCAGAAGAGAAGATGTTTTACTACTTCATTGTCATCATTACATAGGGGACACACCAATTAAGTCCCGTGGTTGGGGGCATGTTCTGCCATTGCTTTCCCTGAAAAGAGCTGGAACCTAAAGGGAACTTTGTAGACAAGATTCTCACTCCAAACCATCTGATATCTAAAGGGATGGAGGTCGCTAGTCTTTCCAGCCTATGTAACCTTGAAGAAGAACCGGTCCATCATTTGCTATTCATGTTATGGATGATAATTTTGTAATTTCTGCTTCCTAGTTGTAAAGTTTAATATTCTCTGGCTGCGTTTAGAAACGATGCAAATGGAGTGTAAATCCTGGTTCAGAGTAAATTTGCACTCTGGTTCACTTTTGCCTATATTTGAAAACATTAAATTTATGCATTGACAAATGACGGACTAATGCATATTTACATTGATAATAAGATGTAAAAGTACATCAATAAAAAAGAAGTAAATTTATATTCAAGTAGGCTTTTGATAAAAAAAAAAAGCATATGCTTTATTAGAATTCATGTTTGCATCCATTACAGCTAAAAATCTGTTTGATAAGAAGGTAAATTTGTCAGTGCAAAACTAACCCAATTTTGTAATTTATATGAACCATTTTATACTCTACATATTTACATTGTTTCCAAACAATGCCTTAAGAGAAAGATTTTTCTTTTCTTTTCTTTTCTTTTCTTTGTCTTTTTATATTAACTAGGGGAAGTTTCAGTCAGTTGTCAAAAGGACTAAAAGTATAGGAGAGACGCCTGAACAAAGTCTTTAACCTTGTAAAATTCAGATATTACTCTGATCTTTTAGCATAAATATAAGGGACTAATTAAGCAATTGCAATTTGACAAAACCTTTTAGCTTAACTATTTTGGATCAAATATCTTCAAAAATAGACTAACTTTGCCGGTTTCAAAAATAAATCAAAACCATCTAATTTTAAAACAAATTGTTTTTCAAAACAAAAACACACCACATGTTCATTATTTGTGTTTTTGTTTTGAAACTAAAAGTATGTTTTTGAACTGCTAGTTCCAAAAACATATTTTCATCTTGATTATTTAATACCATGTTCTATAAATTTGAAGCGTTGTGGTACTGGTACACACACTACTAGACAGACTCTAAACCTAGAATCAGTAAGTCTTGAGTTTTGGAACATGCAAAAGGTGGCAAAATATGGGATCCCAACGTGCCCATAATAGTAAATACATAAATGGAATAAATACGTAGAGAATATTTTGTGTATTAATTCGTACCAAAAACAAGGAATGAGGTAAAAATTAGTCAAATAAATATGTAGCACTGAAAGATAACTAGATAGACATTTGTGTTTCCATTTAAAAGGTGAGGTTAAAGTTTTCCTTTATATTTTATAGGATAATTTATAGATAGGTATTTGTGCTTTGAAGTTAGTGACATTTAAGGGCTAAACTTTCTAGTGAGACATTTTAGTATTTGAACTTTGGGAAATATATTTGGAAATCCAATCATCAATATCCCAACAGTTATCTACACTTGAAATATTTAAAACCTCAAAAGTACCCTTTTAAAGATAACACAGTGGACACATTATAAAAAACACTAGTACTCAGCTGAAACATTGCAGGATGAATAGGATTTCCATTGTTGCTTGCATCATAATATAATGATCAATGTTCAGAGAATCAGACTGGGCATAGAATCAGAGAAGGGAAAGGTTTACAGATTAGAGGTTCAATCAGGGTCAAATTGGAGGTTGAACCGTGATGATATAGTATATACATACCATATAAGTAAAGCAAATGACTAGAATTCAAGTCTCTTAATTTACATTTTCTTTAAAATATATGCACAATAAAATAAAATGTATAATAAAATATAAAGCAAATGATATGGTATATATATACTACGTATCATAAATACTATACATTATATATTTTAACTGTAATATACTTAAATATGGTGGATGGATGATAATTTCTTTAATTTTTAAAGCAAATGACTAGAATTCAAATCTCTTAATTTACATTTTCTTTAAAATATATGCACAATAAAATAATATGTATAATAAAAAATCGTTAATTGATATAAGTAAAGAAATGAATTAGTGGTAATTAAATAATATATGAAAATAAGAAGTCATGTGTTCAAGCCTTCAAGGCTTAGTAAACATATTTTAGATTTTGCATTGTGCATAGGGTATTGATAAAAACATGAAGACCTTATTACTTGGGGTAGGATAAGTAGACCCAAATTTTTGGCATTCCAGAAATCTTTGAGTCACTTTGCAGAGGCCTCACAAATTTCTCTCAGTACATCAGCAATTTGGTGTGTATGCATGGCGAGGGGTTTATCTATCTGTTCAGTTTGTTGAAACATTTTGTTGAATCGTATTCCCTTGGAATGTAATCAGCACACGAACTTTAATGAATGCATTTTGCCTTTAGGCTTAAAAAAGCAAAAAAACAAAAAACAATTTCCAAACTGAGCCGTGGCTATCAGAAGTTACAGGGCAAAAAACAATTTCCATTGTAGAATCAAGTCTCTTAAACGAGTGAAAAATTAGCTAGCATCCAAGCTTGGGGATTAATCATAAATCCCTTCTCTTAGATCAAGTTATTAACAATATACAATACCGAGCTCTTTTTTTTTGTATATAACATACAAGATTAAAGTTTGGAGATATGACTACCAAAAATGGCTCTTCTTTGCAGGGTAGGAAACCTTTGAATTGAAACCTTAGTAAGATCCCTCTGCTGGAAGTTGGAGCAGTTCTCGGATACCTTCACAGACCTGCATTCCACCACGTTATCACCATATACCATGCATAAATGAAAAAAGTTCCTAAGGTGACCATGGGCTAGACCTCATTTGATTGCATAATTGTTAAAGTCACAGGCCTTACCCATGGGATTAAAAGGACTTCACCACATGAAAGTTACTTATCTGGGTAAGGGTAAGAGTTATTACCGAGGTAAGTGTTTTTTTGATTCCGAGGTAAATTATACAATAACTCTTTTCTCCACAAAAAAGTCAATTATTAGAATGGGGAAAAATTTTCCCAACACATTGTTTTATCAACTTCCCCCCCAAGTGGGAAAGTTACCCACCTGGGACATGGGTATCACTTGCCCGAATAAGCTACAGGCTAAAACTTTCATAGTTTTTCCTCAAGGCTTACACCTCAGTAGTATACAAGGCTTACACCCTACTTTGGGCCTTTGGTCTCACAGGCTGCCCACTAGACCAGGCAAAAAGTTGACCCAACCCAGCCAAACCCGAAAAAAACAGGGTTAGGGTTTCATATTTAGCTACATGAATTTGATAATGACCCGACCCGACCCGGAAAAAAACTGGATTGGGTTGGCTCATGGGGTCAACCCGCTGATCCGATTGTTAGGTCTAATTGGGACTATTTATGCATTGTTAGAAGTTTCCACTTCAATTTTTACTATTTAGTTTTTACTCTTTATTGTTTACTCTTTGAATTGTTAAATGTTCCAAGCTTTTTTATTTTATTTCTGGAATTTTAAGGTTAACTCCTTTAATTTTGGCATTTTTCATGTATTTTTTCTTTATTTTTTGAAATTTCAGTTATTTTTTGGGATGACCCGAACTGACCAATGGATCAACCCTAACACGAACATTTAGGGTTAGGGTCTAGCATTTGACAATCCGACCCAAAATCAACCCAAAGTGTCATGACCCAACCCGAACCCGACCCACCTGACCCAATTGCCAGGTCTACTGCCCACCCAAAAATAAATAAGGATTAACCACCATATTCTATAAAACTTTACATAGTATTTCAGGGATGAGTAATTTATAAAAAATATCTGAGAAAGTGGCTTATCAAGAAGAATCAAATGGAGGCAGAGTTCTCAATATTTGTGGTTAAAAGAGGGCTATAATAATACCATTTGTTCCACAAGATGGCTAGTGGGAGAAGAGAAATTTTCATTAAAAGATCGAAAGTGAATGGGGAGTTTATTGAAGAGGGAAGAATTAGGGAGGCAATAACTGATTTCTACACTTATCTCTTCAAGGAAAAATGGCCTTACAAACCCAAGCTGGATGGCTTAAGATTTTATTGGATTAGTGATGGAAAAAGTGAGGGATTTGGAGAAATGGCCCTACGGAACCAAGCTGGATGGCTTAGATTTTATTGGATTGGAAATGGAAAATGTGAGGGATTTGGAGAAGCTGTTTACAGATGAGGAAGTGTTTCAAGCTATTGAGTAGTGAGAAGGAGACAAAGTTCCAGGCCTGGATGGATTTTCAATGACCTTTTACAAGAGACATTGGGATTTTTTGAAGACCTTACGAAGGTGCTCACGGAATTTCATCATAAAGGGGTGGGCCTTGGTGAGGAGCCTTAATCCACTTTCATCACTTTAATCTCAACGGTGATGTTGAATTGAAAGATTTCAGGCCAATTAGTTTAATTGGCAGCATGTACAAAATATTAGCAAAGGTACTAGCTTCTAGAATGAAGAGTTATGAGGTCCAGTATTTTGAAATCCCAAAGAGTGTTTGTTAATGGAAGAAAAATTTTGGATGGGATGCTAATAGCTAATGAACTAATCAGCTCTAGATTGAGAAGTGGAGGGGAAGGGATAATCCTCAAAGTTAATTTGAAGAAAGAATAGAACATGTCAGGTGGCCCTTTCTAGACTATATGCTAAGATGATTAAATTTTGTATTTCTGATGTCGGTTTTTTCATTACTCATTAATGGTAGTGCTTATGGAAGATTTTTTAGCACCAAGGGACCCTCTTTCTCCCCTTCTTTTCATTTGTGTAATGAAGTAAGCAAACTAATCAGTACAGCAGTGGATAGAGGGCTGATTAAAGGATTCAAAGTAGATGATAGGAGGGAATCCCATTGTTGCAATTTTCTAACGACACATTATTTTCTGCAAGGCTGATAATGAGCAGGTGCTAAACTTAAGTTTTATTTTCAAGTGGTTTGAGGCTGTTTCACATTTAAAAATAAATCTGTGTAAGAGTGAAATGTTTGCAGTAGGGGAAGGAGTGGATGTTAATGAACTGGCTGAATCTATTGGTTGTAAGGTAGGGAAACTGCCCACTATCTCAAAAGCTGTTTGGGACCGTGTAGTAGAAAGAGTATAGAGAGGATTAGCTGGCTGGAAGGGTAAATATTTATCAAAAGGTGGAAGGTTGAGTTCATTAAAAGTGTTTTAAGTTCTTTTACCAACTTTGGAAAACCTGATAAGGAATTTCTTGTGGGGAGGCTGGAAGGATGATCACAAAGAACCCAGATTTCCTACTCACTTTTCCTACCCGCCGTGAATTGAGAGATGTGTGGTTGCAATTCACGGCGGGTAGGAAAAGTGAGTAGGAAATCCCGTTTGGATCACAAAGTGCATCTAGTCAATTGAAGAGGGTTTTCTACCACCCAAGGAAGGGGGCAGTTTGGGTATAAAAAGCCTAGAACATTTAAATAAAGCACTGCTAGGCAAATGGCATTGGAGATATAATGAAGAGGTGAACAGTTTGTGGAAAGAAGTTATTTGCTCCTTATAAGGCTCAAGAGAAGGGAATTGAGATACAGAAGACATTAGTGCAAGTTATAGTTGTGCTGTTTGGAAAGGAACCTCACAAGTAAGAATGAAGTTTATGGAAGGCATGAAGTACAGAATTGGAGATGGGTACGGGGCCAGGTATTGGTTTGACCCTTGGTGTGATGATAACACTCTTCAGAGTTTATTTGTTTACTCTCTTTGATATAGCTCAAGATAATGATGCAATGGTAACAGATATGTTTATTCACAATGAGGAGGCAGGTGTATGGAATCTGTTTTTAGAAGGAACCTTAATAATTGGGAGATGACTCAAGTGGTGGATCTGTTTCAAAAACTGTATGCTTTTATACAAATCAGATAGGAGAATCACAAAAGGATTTGGAAATGGAGTGAGGATGAGGTCTTTTCAGTCAAGTCTTTTTCTAACAAATTGAATAGACCAGGGGAGAGTGGCTTTCCATGGAATAGAATTGGGAAAATTCTCAATTAGTACCCTGTACTTTGGGCCTAGTGCCACTTTGGTCCCCAAGCTTTAAAATGCGACAATTCAGTACCCGATTCCCGAAGGTCCCGAACTTTCGAAACATGACAATCCAATACCTACAGTTAACTAGCTGTTAACCAGCCATTAAGTGACATTTGAAAAAGACACAGATGCCCTTCAAGTGTCATTTAATTTTGTTTATTAACCATCTAAACATTGACAAAAAATTAACAGTCCCAAATCCTTGCCTCTTCCATTCAAGAAAGTTGGGGTCACATTTGAGTGGGCATTCTGGTGACCCCAACTTTCTTGAATAGAAGAGGCAAGGATTTGGGACTGTTAATTTTTTGTCAATGTTTGGATGGTTGATAAAGAAAATTAGATGACACTCGAAGGGCATTTGTGTCTTTTTCAAATGCCACTTAACGACTGGTTAGCAGTAAGTTAATGGCAGGTACTGGTCCTACTGGATTGTCACGCTTTGAAAGTTCGGGTACTGAATTGTCAAATTTTAAAGTTTGAGTACCAAAGTGGCACTAGGCCCAAAGTACAGGGTACTAATTGGGATTTTTTCCATTGGAATTTGGGGTAAGCCATACAGTTGCCCCAGTCAAGGTAGCTTTTTTGTTATGAGCAGTAGCTCTTAACAGGTGCCTGACTGCTGACAATATGTTGAAGAGGGGATGGGCTGTAGATAATACCAACTGTATTTTTGTGCAGAAGATGTAGAAATGGTGAATCACATTTTTTTTGCACTGCAGTCTGATTAGAAGACTATGAGCGAGTTTGTCAGACATTTTTGGGATTCAATGGTGCTTCCTGGAGACTGTGGAGGCACTAAAGGGCTGGTACATTCATGAATTAATCAAAAAAGGAAAAGTGGTTTGGGGGATCAGAAGATGAAATCGTCAAGGCTCTTTGAGACAGAACCTATTCTTGGCTTGCAGTGCATAACTTGTTCAGAAACACACCTTAGGCACAGCTCCTTTCTGTGGTCAGAAGTTATGGTTGTATACTTTCCATTTTATTTCTAATATATTACCTTACCTTTTCTCAAAAGAAAAAAACCTAATTCCACTCGAAAGAAGATTGTTCCAGAACCCTCACTAATAAATGCTGCACTTGAATCTATAAGTTGAATTATCAAAAAAAAAAAAAGAAAAAGAAAAAAGAAAAAACTATGCAGCAAGTTGTCAAGGTGATACCTGGGGAACTGAGGACCCATGGGGTTACCTTACCCAAGCACCTAGTTGTTTTTGTAGAAGGCACTTTATTATACTTTTATGTTTTTATTTTTTAAGTTTATATTACCATAAATTCATAATAAGTCATTGTTACATTAAATCATTAATTTTTTGGCTTATAAAATTTCCGTAAGTAACCTTACTAAGAGGCCCCGACTCTTCGTTTCATTTCCTTAGTTTTTCCTCCTTTCACAGGACAATCTTCATCTTACCTTTCATGAATATGCTGATTTACTATGTTTTGATATAAAGCTCATACTTACTTGATGAATATTACAGCAAATTATTAGCAAAACATGAATTCTGCTTACTATAACGCTAGAGAATTAGCTTAGGATTTAGGTTTTTTCTAAAAAAAATCCATCGCTATGCCTAAGCATTCCCCTGTCACCTAGCTTTGCCTTTGAAAAATGACAACTATGTTCCATAGCCTATATTTAGGTTATGACCTTGGCCTTGCCACAAGACTTAATTTTGATTGTAGATTTTGACTTTGTTTGTATATATAACTAGCTAATGACCAATTGACCACCCCATACCAAGTACAGGGCAAGCACACCCATTATTTTGTTTGGGGTCCACTACTTGTGATAAAATTTGGGTTTGATTTCCTATTTAATTTAGGTGATTAAATCAGGTTTAATTTCTAATTAATGATCCACTTTATCTTTCTTGAGAAGACAGGTAGCCACTTGTCTGAAGTAGAAGCCCTCTACTCAGTTTGAGAATTTTAATCTTCTTCAGTTAAACCATATTTATAATGATTTGATACTTACATGGTTTGCATTGTTTAAAAAGTTCATTATTTTCATAATAATTAGTTACAAATTTTCAAGGCTTAACCACTTAAACTTATTTCATTAAGCCAAACTGAATCAGTTACACTCTTTACATTAAAAAAAATGGACCTATTAGGACTGTTAATAACAAAAAAGCAAACTTTTCCCAGCTACATTTGCCCATTGCCAACTGTCTATTAGGACTGTTAGAAAAAATGGACCTATTAGGACTGTTAGAAAAAATGCCTACGTGACACCATTTTTCAAATAAACAGCAACAGGACCAAACACCATGTAATTTTGCAAAATATATAAGGCCATTGCTTGGTACAATTGTAAAATCTTGGACTGATAAGTTAACTTTTTATGTGACAAACCAACAGCATAAAATGAGCAATCAGTATAGAACCATCACTGAAATCAAACATACCAGCTTGATTTGGGCTTTGATGGAAGCAATTAGGCGTGTGTACTCCTCTATCTGCCTGAAAAAACACTGAAATCATGTTTCAATCGCAAAGAAACTTGTTATCAAATAAAGAAAAATATTATTTGTGTATACAAAAAATCATTGTTACAAGAGAGAAGAGAGGAATCTCATGCTATGTTTGGTGTCATAGAAAATAAGAGAGAAACAGAGGGTTGAGGGAAAGTTACTTAAGGAATTTCACAAGATTCCCCAAATTCATTTTGTGGATGTTCATCTCATCCAATATATTTCAACCATACCTAAATTTTAGTTTTCCTAAACTGCCATTTCTCGAGTACATTACCACATTTGGTGAAAGTTTTAATATTTCCAAGGTTTTTCATTAGATTTGTTCCAACTTGCTATCAACACACTCACACACAGGCATTCTTTTGGACAGGGAAAAGGTCGCACCCGACTAGGCCTTTCCACCAGGAGAGATATCCTGGGAGCAACTGTCAAATGGTTGGTCCTATTACAACCTACACTCTTTAGATGTATACATTAGTATGTAGAGGTGGAATGAAAAAAAAAAAAAAAGATGTTGAAGATTTGTCAAAAGCTTCCTTCCATTTGATCTTAGCCAAACGAGAAAGGTATTACAAAAGTTTCCTTCAATGAAATCCTTAAATGGGAAAAGGTTTTCTATACAGGGAAAATAGATCTCTTACATGGAGAACAGCTAACCTTTGAAAGCTTGAAGCTCTTGTACCACTACCCCTGGCTGCTTAGATTCATATCCATGTAAAAGCACAGAACTCCAACCAAGAGTTGTATCTAATCTAGAATTGTAGACCTTAAAGTTGGAGTATGATTTGGCTGGTCTTATTATTCAATTCCTCCATTTAATTGAATAAGGTTATTTCTTCCTCCTCTTTCTTCAATTTTGATAAAGTTATTTCATCATTTTTTTCTGATAAGTGCCATATCATCAAGCAATCCAACAAAAAAGGACAATATGGATACCTGGCTAATCTTTCTTCCTTTACTGATATAAATTGCAAGGCTTCAGACCAAGTGAACTCTACGCGAAACCCCAGTCCAATATCTACAAATATATGCTGTGTATCTAGCCTGTGAGCACATGGAACAACATATAGTTTAGGGGGAAAACAGCTGCCACTTGCTTCAAGTTATCAGCAAATTGTCCAACCGTGACATCATAGGCATGAAATTTGGAATTTGATACATTTAATATCTTTCTGTCAAAAACTTCAATGAAACTGACTATATTTCGTAAACCTACTCAATCAACACACTATGACACTGAAAATATAACTGGGGTAAGAATACGGTTTTATGTTTCAACCACTGTGGTCGAAAAGCAAACTTACCAGCCCAAAGGAATATTGCCAATAATTTAGTGTATACAAAATCTCAATCACCACTCTGAAAAAAACAATTATTCATATATTCATAGGATTGGATAACTTGCATATGTTCATATTTGAAAGTAAAGATATAAACAACATACACATCAGCTTGCATGTACACTTCTGAACCAAGATTGACCAACGTTCGGAGGCTAGTAACACCATTCTTCTCCAAATTCTGTATACTTCTTTTGAGATCTGAGCTATAAGATGTAAGAGTTAAGTAACAAGAGAAATAAGTTTCAGCCATTGATCAATAACAATTGCCTGTGTAAAGGTTTATCCAGGTAAAATTCATTGTCTCCATGAATGCTATACATGTACATGCATAAATACAAGATCACACGTAAAAGTTGTTAAATAATTTAGTTTAAGAGGAAGGCAAACAAGCTATTTATAAAAAACTCCGATTATCTGAATAAATGAAAATATAAAGAAATAAAAGGAATCAAAGGATACTAAACTTTTTGTTGCTCAAAGACCTTGTCCCTGTAAAATACGAAGAGCCAGTTAGTCTTTTTTCTGCCATGGATAAAACAATGAAGAATTTTTTAATACCAAAATCACAAAACAATGAGGGTTTTGTAACATGTGGTTAGCTGAGGATAACCAGCCAACTCATCATTTGTAATTTTCTTGCATTTTTACCAATTAATAAAAGTTTAAATGTTACTGAGAAGAGAATTTCAGAGATCACAGATAAAATCAATGGGCATCAAAAGGATAGTAAAGTGAATCATAAGCACCATGAACCTCAAGAGATATTAAGTGGGTAGAGCATAAAAAAAGTGCATCTTGCACACCTAAGATTGATACAAAGTGTTTAATAATTTGGCAGTTTGTCGATAGTTAACATCTAAAAAAATTCAAACCATGTAACTTCAACTATTTAGCAAATATATAAAACTTCTGCAGTAAAAAAGAAAACATGGTATATGATCTGGAGCAAAGCCTAAAATTCAAAGACCCAGTCCTACATTAGCTTTTATTTTATTTAACTAAACTAGGAGACTATCCACTGATAGACACACACATGGTATCCTGGGTGTCCAACAGAACCACAGTTGCTTTTACCTCAGCAGGAAAAAGAGAAGCTAGTATGTAAAACCTAGATCAGCTAGGCATCCAAACTCAATTTACTGAAATTAGGACTTTCAAGGGTCAGTTTAATATTTGACTAAATTTACATAACACTTGTCAGGACCAGACATCTCAACCATCCAATCGGCCAGCCTGGCATTTCACAATAATTTCATTTGGTTGTGACAATGAGTGAAAAAGAATGGGTCAACTGATCATCCCCATGACATAAGACCAAGTCAGTTGTGCCTAAAGAAAGTTTCTAAAATCCAGAACAAAGATCTGCCCATGCAATTAGATTAGCAGTCAAGGGTCAACCTGGTCAAGTAGAATACTGACCTATCTGCTCAGCTTACATCAGCTGATCTCAAAAAGCATTGGACTTAGTTATCATCAAGGTGGTTAGAAGTCCAATGAATAGCCTGACTTTACACATACATTCATGGTTTGATAACCTTACAATTTCCCAACAAGTAAAATGTCACTGTCCTGAAGAAAAGACATCCTGTATGAAGACCCATTGTTCTATGATCAACTTATCTTATTTCTTTGTCCAACTCTTCAGAGAGTTTCCATTGCCATTACCAACAATACTACCATTGGTGTGACAACAAAAGGTCAAAAACAAGTGGGATACCTGAATCATAAATACATTGATTTTATAGACTTTAACATGAAGTTTATACTTTTCTTATGAAAATTGTGGATAATTATTAGGGAAATATGGTTATGGAACCTAGGGAACTTCCCTATGATATATGGTTTTCACTTAAAAAAATCCATCGCCTAGGGGACACCTAGGCAACTAGGTGACGAGGCACCCCCCTCTCGCCTAGCCTCGCCTAGCCTCGCCTTGGCACCTTCATACCAAAAAATATGCCCCATCCAATACATCAAACAACTTCGAGTTGATGAACTTGACTTGGCTAAGTAGTGTAAAGGAGTCCTAGATAGTAGGAAAATCCCAAAAGTGCAGTTAAAGGTTGATTGACAAATAAATCTTGGATGAAAGGATTACAAAATGAGGAAAATACATATTCCAGGTTGTTATAACCATCCAGTAAATAAGGTTTCTAGGGGAAAGTTTTAAAGAGCTTACTTATATAATATTAGCTTCTATGACTGAAATAGCAAATGTTGGTTAAACAACACAAATCTCTCCTAATTGGCATAAGTCTACAAGAATAAAAATGAAAAGATCAGCATATGTGAATTTTTCATTTACTATCTGAATTGTTAGGTAGAGTACACAAGATACCTTTCCACAATTGCACGAACAAGGTCTGGCTTCAAGCGGCGATCAACAAATTCCTCAAATTTCTGCACTTTTTCTACCCGAATATTATCCATCTAGTCCTGCTGAATGGAGTAAAAGAGGAAAGGAATAAGAAACAATACAAACAAGGAATAGAATTCCCTGATGCACCTTCTCTCAGTTGGCCATAACCCATTACACACCCTCTGATGCAGTTGTTTCCTTCGTATCATCCTGGTGGACCCAACACCCAAGGCATTCAACTATTTCTTTAGCCAATACGGGAGCCTGAACCATAGTTCTAGCCACCATGTACCTTGTAGAAAGGTAGACCAAACCAGCTGCTGCACCAATGGTCATTACAATCTGATGGTTACAAGGGAGAGGGCCAATCATGGGAATCGAGCACTTCACTTCCCCAATGACCCTTTTCATCCCCACCAATTTATAACTCCTGAGTTGTAATATATAGAACTATATGCAAACATGGAAATTCTTTCTTTTCTCATCTGTACATAATCTTTATCACAATCATTACCCAGCCCCTCTTTCCTTTTGATAACACAACTACATAATTCTAATTTTAGAATTTTTTATGCACTGAATATTTAACAGCAGTTGCAGGGTTGTCATCGGCATTATATCTACTAACTAACCGAGAGGGAGGTAAGTCAATCCGTTCAATCTTGATCACGCACTCCAGTCTGGCGCAGAAATGAGCCACGCAAAACGTGGACATGTTGATATAGAGCCATTCAACAGAATCAAAAGAAGAGAATTCCTGTTTTACATCTGTTAACAGCAAACCAACTTCTAGATTCCCACCCTGACCCGAGCGATTTTTTAAAGACAAAATAGCATTTGAACAATAACCCTCAAACCCAATGTGGGAAGCTGAGTTAATGGAACTTCCTTCAATTCGATTATAAAAGTTCAAAGTAAAAAATAAAATAAAATAAAATATAAGTAAGAAACAATATTGGGGCGGGGAGAAGAATAATAGCAGCATTACCAGTCCCTTGGCTCGTTTTGCACGGCGTCTGAGGGAGCAAGAGAGAAAACAGGTATGCCGCTCGTGAGTTGTGAGAACAACACTGGTGGCAACTTGGAGGGGAGAAGGGTCGTCGGTGGTGACGAAGATATTCTTGCAAAGTGGAGAGAATTGCAGAGAGTAGCGTTTGGACCTTTTGAGCACACTTGAAGCTTCTGTATTCTTCTCTGCAAACAGCAGAGAGACGGAGACGGAGGTGAAGACTGGAGAGAGCTGTAGGGTAAAATGGCTTTCAAACCCTCAACCCAACCCAACATCCCATCCTCACCCTTTATATTGACCCATATTCGACCCGCCCATTTAAATGGTTGGATTTGGATGGATGGAGTGGGTGTATTAAATGGGTTGGGTCGAAAACTGCCACCCGAAAGCCCATTTTTTTCACTGGGTCAAAAAATTCTAAATTCAAAGTAGATTTTGGGTAGATATTAATTCGGAAATAATGTGAATCCACGGGCGGGATGCATAAAATATGAGTTTTTGACCTTTTAAATGTTTGTAGTTTTACACTACCTGTCCGTACTCCGCAAGGAATTCATAAAATACCTGTCCGTACTCCGCAAGGAATTCATGGTGCTGCGAGTGGATCCGTCCGCAAGCCGGACGAACCTCATGGGTTTAGCACCGCTAATCGGGTAGACATTCGGGTCACTCAGCTATGACCAGTTGTCTCTTGACTTCTTTCTCCTACAGGCTACAGCACCCGCTGCGCTAAACCCTAAATCCTCGTAATAGGAATCAAAAGAAGGCCGAGACCAGAAAGTGGCTCGCCTTCGTTTCACTTGGTCTGTCGAGGAAATTCTTTGGCTCCAAGTTTTTGTTTTCTTCGTACTTTCAATCGGAAGTTTCAGCTCGAATGGCGGTCAGTTGCTACTTTTATGTTTGAGTGTTTAATTTTTTCCCCACTTTTGTTATTTTGCATTACATCTATGATCTCTCATGAAGATATCTCCAGACTTACTTGCGTTCTTCTGTAGTTATTCGTTAAAGCAACCGTACGTGAAATCAGATTGGTGCATTCGAGCCATTGTGCTCAAGAATTCAATTTAGTATATTTTTGCAACTTACTAGGGTTTGCCAAATTAGTTCCTTTTCTTAGATGTTTTGAAGACTTCGCTACGGCATTGGGAACTATAGCTTTTGTTGTGTATCCTATTTGATTGATCGCCAGTGTTGGTTAGAAGCCGTATGAACCTGCGTTTTATTTAGTTTGAAGTTTTAAACAAAATAGGACGAAAGGCAAAAGCAGTAGTTCGCATCATACTAATTTGTCGATAGTTTTAGGTTTCGCAGGGTTTTGAACCCTCTTGGAAAAGCATGACTCTTGTGGTTTGTTGGAAAATGCGTTGCATGTTAATAATCTGAAAATTTGATGCGAAAAACGTTATGTAACAAAGATGCCCTAACTCGGGATACATTGTCTAAAGGAAAAGACAAGTTGAGTTTATATGAACAACAAGTTGATATTCATGTGAAACCCCTGATCCATGTTATCCAATTTTGCTATTAATAACTGTTCAATATATTCATAATCCTGGTGGATAGTGTTATTCTTGCTCGGCAGGTGCAGAAAGGGAATAAATATGATGTAAATCAACAATAGTAGCTTAGTCCATAGAAGAAATTCAATAAATCAGTAGAGAGTTTCGTTGAAATTCCTGTAACAAAAGATCGAAGGCTTATATTTCTAACAATTTTTTTCATGCTCAGTACATGTCTTGAGGACCTTTTTGATTAGTCAAATGGCCTGAAGAACTCCTTGGGAAGAAATGACAATGCATTTATTTTCAAACTATTATTGGAAATTCTCATTCCTATTCAAAATTATGTGGCAACTTCATGTTGATATTGGCATGTATGTCAACACTTTCTTGACTATTTATTTTTAACACACCCACTAGATGCTTTACACAGTTATAATGCATTATAATTTCTATGGGCTTAAACTTGGAAGAGGTTGTGGATTTCCAATGAATTTAATTCTCCGTTCATGTATTTATGGGTTTCCCTTCTAACCATATATTGATAGATTCTTATGGCCTTGGCCTCTCCAACAATATTTTGATATATTATATGCTAATTCCATGGCCTCGCCATGAGGTTTCTCTAGTGCATTATCTTATTTCTACTGAAATAAGTTGGAAAGTCAAAGATTTGGGACTTGAGAACTTTGCATGATTGATCTCCAAGTACGTGAAAAAGTTCTCAGATTCTATTATAGACTTGATACTAGAACTTGCAACCAAGCCAGCAAATTCTTCAAGAAATTCTATTATAAACTAGATGTCCTTGCCATGATGTTTCAAAGGCTATGCCATTAGTCCATTTGTTGGAGTTTGGAACTTCCATGCAGTTTGTATCAATTGTGTGGCATGGTATGCTCCATGTTAGAGTATAATCTGTCACCGCTGGATTTAGAATAATTACCTATGCAATTAGAGGAAGATTCAAAACAAGTTTTACTCAAAAATATTATAATACTTAAATGCACTGTATTGTTTGATTTTTATCCAGTTTAAGAAATCATTTCATGCTTTATGTACTGATGGTGCGCAATCCGGCCGGTCCTAGCTGTCAACGACCTTGCCTCTGACTGGAGCAACAGGGGGCCTGAAACGGAGAAGAAAGTGGGGAATCTCCAGGGAGGAACCCAGTGAGATTACTCCGAAGCTCAAGTTATTTTTCTCTCAAAGGCAAGATAAAACCAGATGGCGCAAAGTTCACATACCTTGTTCTTGGGGGGTAGAGAGCCTTTTATAACCACTTCGCGCACTCACTCCTCGGCTTCCGTCAGGTCGGGTATGATTACTTCTGTGCTTCTGCCAGTTCGGGTGTCATCACCTCTGTTGAGACAGAACCGCCACTACTCTTTGTCGGAGCCGTCTCCGTAACTGGAGATGGCGGTGGCAGGTGGCCGTTGGAGTGCGGCTGTCAAGCGTCAGATCCCAAGTCAGTCAGGTGCGCCGCCCCTCGATACGGACTTCTTCGGTGTCAGGTACGGTGTGGTTTGTTTAGTTCGGTGTCCTGGAGGCGAAGTGCTAGAGTTGTGTGTGAGGTTAAGTCTTGAGTTCGCATAGAGGTGCGGCCCGAACTGCCATGGGGCAGGCCAATTTAGGTTGTTGCCCTTTGTGTTCGTAAGGCTCGGGGCCTAAGGGAGAGCTCGGGCTCCTTACGGGGAGTTCGGGCTCCTTGCAGGGAGTTTGGGCTTCTTGTAGGGAGTTCGGACCGCTGGTTCCTCCTTTCGGAGCTCGCGCCTTGGCGTGCTGTTATGCCGAGCTGTTGCCTTTGGCACGTGTTGAGTGGCCACGAGGTCGGGCCAAATCTTCCTTCATCAATTGCCCCCCACTCCTCGCGCTAAGGGTCTTGCCCTGGCACGGGGAGTTCGCGAGGTGGCGGGCGGATTTGTCCCGTACTTCGAATTGGTTGACTAATAGCGCGAGGTGCGCGTCGTCAGGATCTTTTCAGGTTTCTCAAGCGCCAAAAAAGACGGGAAACGCGCCAATCTGCCTATAAATGCTGACAGACGTGACAGCGTGCGCTTTATTTCAAAATTCAAAAAGCCCGCCGCTGGGAGACGTGACAGCGGGCGTCTTTTCAAATTTAAAAATGCGACGTTGCCGCCTTTAATGTGAGGAGACGTGCGCTTTCAGTTTCAAGGGACGTGTGGTCAGCACGACTGCGGGCCGTTGGATTGGCTTTGATCTAAGCCGTTGATTCTCGGTTACTGTGGGTATAAATAGTGGGGGATTCCAGTCGCTGTCATTATCCTGCGTTTTGCTTCTTGAGCTCGCGTCCAAGTTTCAGCTCGCGTTCAAGCCTTTAGCTCGTGTCCACATTCTTGTAGTCCGTTTGCTTTTTTCCGGGTGATTACCTTCCTGGAATCCTTCTTCTCCTTCCAATGTCGAGCTCGGATAGCTCAGACAGTTCTTCAAGGGGGTCGGACGCAGGTTCTACGAACCGAGTTGCATCCCCCGATAGTCCTAGTGAACCTAAGGTAGAACTCGAGGAAGAGTTCGAACCCGTAGGCCGAGTTGCCTCGGGTAGTTTGGCGACCTCCTCTCGTCGAGGTTGGACGTTAGACAAGTTTGGGCCCTCGACCATGACGCCTGAGGGGCTTCACTCCCTTATTACCCAGTTTCACTTGCCTAGGGAGTATGCCTACTTCATACCCTCGGGCAGTTTCCCTTGGGAACACAGTCCTGATGAGATCGTGATATTCCGGGAGCAGCTCGTTGCGGGGTTGCGCCTGCCTTTCCACCCCCWCATTGTCGAGGTTCTGAACCACTTTGGCGTTACTGTCAGCCAGCTTCACTCGAACTCCATTCGTAACTTGGTGGGGACAATTTCCCTATTTTGCGAACAGGGCTTGCCTTTAGACCTAAAGATCTTCTCTTCCATTTTAATGCTTAAGAAGCAAGCGGGTCCCCTTCCTGGGCATAGGCAGGCGTATTACCTGTCTCCTCGCCCGGGTTTTAAGCTTTTACACGAACTTCCCAACAAGGTCCCGGCATGGAAGCGGGACTACTTCGGGGTGCGAAGTGCATTGGGGTGACCGTTCCAAACCGGGTGGGGGATGGCTGCCCCTGACGCCGGTGTTACGCTTGATAAGGAGACGGCGAAGGGCTTCCGGCAATGGGCACGGCTTAGGCTAAAATGCCATCATTATTTGTCGGAGGCCAAGCTTATTGAGGCCGGTCTGAGTTCGGGTAGGTTCCTTACTCAGAGGTTTGTCTTTTGTTTTGCTCTGTTCTTTTGTTTTTTTCTGATGCCGAGCTCATTTTGTAGGTGTGATGGACCTAGAGAGGACTCGTGGTGGGCACCTGTTTCACGGCATGAAGAGGAGGAAGCGAGTCGCCAAACGAACTCATGCTGAGCTGCCCCGAGACGCGGAGCCCGAGGTACCAGACTACCCGTATGTGGATCCGCCCAGGGAGCCCGAGATGGCCCCTCTAGTACATGAAGCGGCAGGGGCCCCTTATGCCGAGGCTACTTACACAGGGGCTCCCGCTTACTCTGAGTCTGCTTACACGCAAGTTGGGCCCTCAGGCTCGGGGGCCCAAAGCGAGTTCAGGAGCGTGTTGTCGCCGAACCACGCTCTTTAGAAGAGTAGGGAGGCCATCTATTCTGAGGAGGTCGCGGCATGGACCGAGCTTCCTTTGAACCAGGTAGCTTGTCGTGCTGCCACTCATGCCATGGTGGTAAGTCAGATTTCTTGTCGGGCTCTTTGCTTCTATCTTTCTTGCTGTCGTTCTTTTGATCATTTGTTCTTTCCTTTTGGTAGGTGAATTCTTCTATCCATGCCTTGGCGGCCCAAGTGGAAAGGAGCTCGAGGCAGGCGCGAGCTATTGAAGAGGCTTTCCGTGTTGCGGAGGCGGCTTCCCGAGCTGCTGAGGCGGCTGCTCACGCTGCACGGGCCAGGCAGGCGAGGTCTCAGAGAGATGCCGAGGCCATGGGAGTTGTGGTTGAAGCATATGGCGGACCTGAGGCTGGATTTGCAGCATCAGGTTGAATACCTTCAAGAGGATATCAGGGAGAGGACACAGATCTTTTCTCAAGGCNCATTGAGGATGCCAAGAAGAAGGCCGTCGATGAATACATCGCCTCGCCGCGCTTTGATGACCTGATGGTGGACTCGTACAGAAAGGGCTTTAAACTAAGCYGGTGRATGATCSRKAATACRTACCCYGAGCTYGATATTAGTGCGATATCCACTTCGCGCATTACTCAGGAGATGGCCGACGCCGCTGATGGTGAGCCGGATTCTGAGGACGAGGTAGGACCTTCGGGTATCGTTGAAATGCCTTCTGATGGTGAAGTACCTCCGGGCCTGTGAGCTCGGCATGTATTTTTTTTTTTATTTTG